CAAAGTCTTCCATGTTCCCATAGCAAATCAATACCTCTGGGGGTACTGATTCAGGAGTTTCCTTGTCTTCTGGATCGGTTCAAAATTACAAGGCTACGGACATAAGTAGTCGTAAACCAAAAATTGGGTCTGCTGTTCAACGATATATATATATATATATATATAAAATATTCTACTTAGAGTCGTGATGGCTGAAGGGATAGAGCGTTCGCCTTCCGACGAGGTGAACCGGGTTCGATCCCAGCGATGGCTGGTTGATTCGAATTCCGCATCCGGCTTGTACCTACAGCGGTGCTGACGTGAAATATTCTCATTGGTAGACGAATTATGGGTTCGAGTCCCCTTGCCGTCAGGCTAACCGTGGGAGGTTCTCGTGGTCTTCCTATATCCATGTAACGCAAATGTGGGTTAGTTCCATCAAAAAGTCCTTTACGAAGGCAAAATTTCTTCCAATACTTGATCCTGGAGTTCTCTTGTCTTCTGGATTGGGTTCAAAATTACAAGGCTTCGGAATTAAGCATTAGTTATTGTAAACCCGAAAATTGGGTCGGCTGTTCGACGACGATTATAAAATGAAAAAAAAAAAATTCTACTTAAAGCCGGGATAGCATGATCGGTTGGGCACTGGGCCTATGTCCAAGAGATCGTGGGTTTTTTCCCCTGCGGCCGATGACTCCCCGTGTAGTAAATGGTGAATGATGCAAGTTAAATCTGTGGAGTCACGAAGTCCTCCATGTTCCTTTAACAAATCGTACTTCTGGGGGTGCTAATGCAGGAGTTTCCTTGTCTTCTGGATTGGTTAAAAATTACAAGTCTCCGGAGTAGAATATTAGTAGTCGTAAACCCAAAATTGGGTTGGCTGTTCAACGACGGATATAAAATATAAAAAAATATTCCACTTGCATAGTTCAATATTTTTTTTCTCAAATAACTTAAAAACGATTTAAATGTGACCTACGTAACTAAAATATACTAGATGGATTTTATTCTGAGTTTGAAAGATTAGGTTTGAGAATAAATAATTTCTTTTTACGTCCAATTTTGGAGGAAAATTCAGCATAATAAATTAAAACGATAAAAGTCGACGTAGAAGTTATGTTTCTGAAAAATTCAATCTTAAGTGAAAAATCTTTTGCTACACTAAACCTAANCGAATTCTACATCCGGCTTGCACCGACCACAGTGCTGACGTGAAACATCCTCAGTGATAGACGGATCATGGGGTAGAGTCCCCTTGCCGTCAGTCTAACCGTGGGAGGTTCTCGTGGACTTCCTCTCCCTGTAACGCAAATGCGGGTTAGCTCCATCAAAAAGTCCTCCACGAAGGCAAATTTCTCCCAATACTCGATCCAGGAGTTCCCTTGTCTTCTGAATTGGGTTCAAAATTACAAGGCTACGGAGTTGAGCATTAGTAGTCGTAAACCCATAAAAATTGAGTCGGCTGCTCAACGACTGTTATAAAATAAAATAAAATATTCTACTTAAGGCCGGGATAGCCTGATTGGTAGGGTACTGGGCCCATGTCCAAGAGGTCGTGGGTTCTATCCCCTCAGGCCGAAGACTCTTCGTGTAGTAAATGGTGACTGATGCACGTTAAATCTGTCGAGTCACAAAGTCTTTCATGTTCCCTTAACAAATCGTACTTCTGGGGGTGCTGATGCAGGAGTTTCCTTGTCTTCTGGATTGGTTAAAAATTACAAGTCTCCGGAGTAGAACATTAGTAGCCATAAACCAGAAATTGGGTCGGCTGTTCAACGACGGATATAAAATATAAAAAAATATTCCACTTGCATAGTTCAATATTTTTTTTCTCAAATAACTTAAAAACGATTTAAATGTGACCTACGTAACTAAAATATACTAGATGGATTTTATTCTGAGTTTGAAAGATTAGGTTTGAGAATAAATAATTTCTTTTTACGTCCAATTTTGGAGGAAAATTCAGCATAATAAATTAAAACGATAAAAGTCGACGTAGAAGTTATGTTTCTGAAAAATTCAATCTTAAGTGAAAAATCTTTTGCTACACTAAACCTAAGGAAAAATGTATTCCTGCATTTAATTTAATAGAAAACCAAGACTGATATAATCTGAAGGACAAGTCAAAACAGAATATGGCTACATATTTTTAAATAAAATTATATTTCGAAAGCATCTATTTGAAATAAATTACTTTTCTTTCTATATTTTATTCTACCATGAGATGATGGAAAATTGGCTTATATAGGTATTTTCAAAATAGATAAGTTTTCTTGCAAAGTTTAATGAAATTCCATCTCTTATTATTGAATACAAAATAAATTTTTTCTGTGAAAGAAGATTACGTTCTCGTTCTTAAATAAGGATTAGAGATATTGTGTTTTGAGGGAGATTATAGAGGTTGAATCAAAATATGCTTGCAGCAGCTTTTTTTTTCTTTCTCCAATGTGGTCGAAAAAAATGGTTTATGTCTCTAACTTTGTACCTTGTAATAACTAAATTATAAATAATTGGATCATAAAATTAAAAATATAGTAAAGACAGTATTCTGTTCTTTTAAATTATAAACGCCAAGTGTCTATTATACCGATTGTTGTTGCTGTCTTGTCTGTATCACTGCGAAATATTTCTAAAAGTTTGAAGAATGAGATTAGACCGATTAGTTGGGTCAAAAAATTCATTTTGCTTTTGTGCGGAAATAAATTTTGACCAATACCAGAGTGGGTTCTGCTCATATGGCTTTTTCCTAATTACTTCCTAGTCTTGATGTCCCGCAGTGGACTAATCGTTAAGACACGGTTCCCATCAGATCACCGAAGTCAAGCATCAGTGGCTGCGGTCAGTGTGCGGGTGGGTGACCACTTGGATCAGTCTGCCTAAGGACAGAGGGTGTGCGGTATTGGTCCTCGTTAAACTGTTCTACCGTAAAGTGCTCGACTTCGCGTGCAGGTCGTCGGGCTACCGAAGCAGAGTGCCATCCCCTCTGCGGAGGATCAAAATTGTGATGGCATGTCTTCGGATCATCCTCAGGGATGTTTCCCAGACCGTCGCCAATAGCCCATTGTGCAGCTCTAGTGCGACGTAAATGAACAAATCAATCAATCAATCTAACTTAGTCTTGATAAACACGGAGGCCACGATTGCCGCGGGATCACGCTTTTCTTCTTATGAGGAATTCGAAAGAACTCTCTCTATTGTTATTGTTAATTTACGTCGCACTAGAGCTGCACAATGGGCTATTGGCGACGGTCTGGGAAACATCCCGGAGGATGATCCGAAGACATACCATCACAATTTTGATCCTCTGCGGAGGGGATGGCACCCCCGCTTCGGTAGCCCGACAACCTGCTCGCGAAGAGAACTTTCTCTAAATTGAGTTACCATGAACTGATGTTTTTTTAAGGTTTATCACTGTCTGGAGCACTTTTGCGCGGTATAACATATTTTTATCTTTTAAAAAGTAAATACCACTACTCGGTATACATTTGCCCGGCGAATCTTACATTATTGTTTTTATAAGGTTAAGGGCCAATGCCTGGTATACATTTGCTTGTTATACTATACACTTATTTTTTTGGAGGTAAAGTGCTACTGCCCGGTATACCATACACTCATGTTTTTAAGGCTAATTGATACTGTCTTGTATACTCTACATTGATGTTTTTTAGGATTAAGTACCACTGCTCGGTTTACATTCGGCCGGTATGCTATACACTGATGTTTTTTAAGGGCTAGTGACACTGCCTGGTATACAAAACATTGATATTTTTAATGGTTTTATACACTGCTCAGTATGCATTTGCCCGTTCTACCTTATAATTTTTTTTTTATTTCATGACCGTCGTTGAACAACCGACCCAATTTTTTTGGGTTTACTCCTACTAATGTTCAACTCCGTAGCATTGTAATTTTGAACCCAATCTAGAAGGCAAGGGAACTCCTGGATCAAGTACTGGGTGAAATTTGCCTTCGTGGAGGATGAAGTTATGATGAAACTAACCCGCATTTACATTACATGGAGAGGAAAACCACGACAACCTCCAACGGTTAGAATGACGGCAAGGGGACTCTGACCCCTTGCTACCTTGTCTACCACTGAGGACATTTTGCGTCAGCACTGTGGTGAGTACGGAATTCGAATCAACCAGTCATCGCTAGGATTCGAACCCGGATCACCTCATTGGATGGTGAGCGCTCGATTTCCTGAGCCACTTCGGCCTATTCTAAACACTGATGTTTTTAGGGTTAAGTGCCACTCTCTGGTATACACCCGATATACCCTGCTTTGATGTTTTTAGGATTAAGTACCTCTGCCCGGTATACTAATACTCTGATGTTTTTAAGGTTTAAATAAAGTTGATATATTTTATACAACATATACTTTATAGAATATATTTTAATCTTTAACACAAATTTTATTTCTATCAAAGTAAGTACTAGGCATGGTTTAATAAGGCTAAATCAAACAGTCGTTTTAAATACATAAGTGAACACTACTACTACCGTGATAAAAAAAGTTACCAAAAATGTACACCAATTTCATGGAAAAGGACGTTTTCTGGTTTTTATTGACATAGAGATTTATTTTTGTTCATAGTATTCTACAGAAACTCATATTGAAAAATGGTCAGATTTTGTACATTGATCATTGAAAATTCAGAATTTTATAAAAATGACATATTCTTCTAAATAAATTCTTAAACTTATTATTATACTGTTTTTCCTTATACAATATATAAGTTTCGATGATTACGACTTCCAATTAATAATTTTTCTTTATTTAGCACTATGTCAAATAATTTTAGGATTGTTGACTTTTAAGTATTTTGTATTTGATAAATGAAAAAAATGAAATAGAAAATAGCGATTAAAAAATTATGAATTTTAACAAAATCTATCATGTTATTTACCACAGGATTCACTTGACTTTTTTGTTGCAAAATAACTTACGATTTCCTTGCATTAAAGATTAATTTATTTTAGATTCCCTTAAAAACGTAATCGAGGTTCAATATAGATAATTACTCCAAACGTGTTTTTAGTACATTTTTGAATTCAGTATTTCTATGAATTGCTGTGATTATATCTTCTTCTTCTATTGCTGTATGTTTCCTTTCTTGCGCAATTTTGTCGGCTGCCTCAATAAGTTGGAAGGCTAAATATTCTTCGGCAGCTGCCAAAAACACTGGAACTTCCCGAGATACTGCCGATTCCTCTTCGCCTGCCTGTAGCATTTGAGATATTTCAGTTATAGGGAAAACTAGATCATGGTCCACAGGCTTAGAATCACTACGTGAAGATGGAAATCGATTTATTAGTTTAGGAACATTTTTAGAAACTGTTTCGTTATTGCGAATCTCTTTGCTGTATATATTTTCCTTATCTGAAATGGAAGGCAATTACAAAAGTTAATTTCCTTAGATAAAATGAAGGAGATCTTGCTGATTATTTTAATACTATTAATAAAGACATCAACACGTTAATACTCTCGCAAAGAATACTTAGAGGGGATTGAATAAAAATTAAGTTTAAGGAAAGTAAATTTATAGTATAAATTATTTACTATTGTGCAACCGAGAAAAATCGTTTGCTATTTTTGAAAATCCAGACGATATCTAATCAGAACACATAAATCACAGAAATAAAAAAGTTCACACATTTCTTACCATAGCATAAAATATGTAATCTATAGAGTAGAATTAAACATGGAATCTAACATAAACGTCTGTCTAATCAAATTTTCGACTTAATAATTTTTACAAGAAAAAAAGAGGGAACACCTATTATGCAGTTGACAAAGAATGCTCCAAATACTTATTAATGTCAAAAATATTTTAACTAGATATCATAGTCAGTTACTTTTGTTTACTATGGTATATCACGAAAGAGTAAATCACATGATCTGTAACTAAAAAAAAAACAAAACAAAGATGAAGGTATTCGAAACTGTCATTAATAGAAAATAAATAAAAACTATAGCATTATTCACCTGAGAACTATTAGTTATTTTTACCTGCTGTAATTTTCAACTACTTATACACTGCCGAACTCATTTAAAGAGTAAAATCTCAAGATTAAAATAGATTTTTGTATAAATTAGTTTATTATTTTTAGAAACAAAGAAGTTATTACGACTAATGTTCCAAAACCAGAACTGCTAAAATAAGAGGAGAAAGTCAAAAACTTATCAACGTTGTTGCTGATATTTGGGCAAAAAATGCAATTGATTTTCATTTATAAGTAATCAAATAATTGGGATATTTATATAAGTTATGATACTTACGATTGTAATTTTTGTCGAGATTACAAATAATCATGGTAAATAGTAATCATTATGAGCGAATTTAAGATATCATAATATAACTACAAATAATTATATGATTCAGATCTCCAAAAATCTCAAAATATTTTGCGCTTTGCTGGGCATGTCAGTCTATAAGTTATATGTTCGACTGAAACTTTTACATGCCTAAAATATAGCTTTTGAATGCATGCCAAAATATGAATGTAATATTACTAATTTGTAGTAAGAATGACATTAACAACAGTATGTCTGTAACAACACTTTTATTTTAAGTATTAATTCAGAAGTATTATGTTAACAAGGAAGTATTAAGCACGAATAATCATTGATGTAGTTGTTTTGCATTGGCCTCCGCTCGTTTTGTTTGATTACGCATTGATTGAGTAAACGCAGAGCATTATTACTAACAGAGATGCATTATCGGTTAGTGCTAATCTGCACGCCTACTTCCTTTCGTGCAAAACTACTAATGTTCACTTGTGACTGATGGATCAAAAGTTTGACGGTTCTACTCAGTGCTCATTCGTCAATGCCGTCAATGCTCACACTCCTTGAATGATTGCTTATCTTAGTGGACAATCTGTATGGCAACGAGGTTTTAATTCGATTCTTCACATTGAATCCTTACTTACAGACATATGTATTGGGAGAAATGGAGATTATTATCTTTGATAGAAAATTATTTAAAAATCTAACTAATCTAATATGAGAATGCTGCTGGTTTTTGAATAATGCTGATTTTATTATTATAGAGGAGTAAGGATCCATAAGTAATAATTAAGAACATCCCAAACTTATGAAAATATTAACAGTTAGCTCCTGGATTCTAGTAAATAATTATTGAATAATCATAATCTTTATCTTTTTTTTTTAAATAATTCATAATCTTTATCTTTTTTTAAATAATAAATCTTAATCATTAATAACTAATTTTCAGAAGTGATAAATCCTACTTCATAATTTCAAGAAAGCATATTATTTAAGAAAATTGGCATTAACCATATGTAACCAGAAGTTGTGATTAAGTGTAGCAGACAGTTTGAAAAATTGTACACTTGGGAATTACCAACGTAACAGAAACAACATAGTTTTTTGCTTTTGCTTTTATTATCCAAAAACTGGGCTGCTGGGCCGCGCAGCGGCCCATATCCAATACATCATGAAAATTGATTTAAAAATATTGTATAAAAACTCTTTGTGATGAGCAACATTATGGTTACATAGTTTTTATGAAAGCTCTTTTGAGTATAATGGGACAGTTGATACGTAACAGAGATGTTAATGAGCTAGTTCAGCCTTGATTACAGATACAGAAATATTTTAATGGTAAACCATACTTTCAACACTTACATTAATTTAATGCTGATGACAACCAAAGAAATCTTGAATTTTATTGGAGAAAACTGCATCTTAACACGTTATTTATCTATCCAAAGAGAATGCTCGGAACAATTATTTTATTCATCTGATTTTTATGTACATTGATTTCATTCTCCACCGAATTTGTGTTCTCAGTGGCAGGGTACAGCATTTCGAAGGATGTTTTAGCATCCAGTAGATGATTTGCGTATATTAATATCTATTTTTTCACATCAGCTTTCGTCTTATTTTTTAATACAGTCATGTGTTTTTGATGTCGAAAAATTAGTTTTCAAGTAGCGGAAGTTGCTCTGTGTTTGGTTACACTTTGCGAGGAAGCTCTAATTAGTTACCTGGAATTAAGAGGGTAAAATTCCCTAACGACCCATTACGCCGAATTCAGTGCAGTAATGCCTGCGAATTCAGTGGAGTATATAGGAAATGCTGGGAATAAAATAGTTACGTTCTGCTATGACGTGAGAGGAGGACAGCAGTCTTCCTGCAGGGTAATTTGTTATTTTTAGAAGAGATGGTGCACAGAATTTGGTTTTGGTTTTGTATATAAGGGGAATATTTTTTTCCAATGCCCACCTGGAGAATGACCTTTCGTCATACAGGCATCTGAAGGGCAGATTTGTTGGTTACTCTTTGAGGGGCACCATATTAGGTGGGCCAACGTTGCCCCCACAATAAGGACAGATAGTACAGAGAATGAAAGAACATCCATGCCTTACCCGGGATTCGAACCCAGAACCTTTCTGATGATCTAGTTCCCTGACCCTACACAGGCCGGTCGGAACCAATAGTAAATAAATTTTAATATTTAGGAAAATGTCTACTGTTGTTGTTGCTTATTCTCATCTGGCTTGACGAAGTCAGACCAGATCTATGAACCCATTGACCTGAATGAAATCGAAGACCAAAGGAGGAGTAGAGTAGATGTCTTCCCAGAGACAAGACAGTCCAGGATATAATCGGCAGAAGCCCGGTGTAGATGGCATTTAGGGCAGAGGGGTAGGTTTTAGTTCCTTCAGAAAATTGTAAGCCCTTTAGATGGCCGGTAGCTGCGAGGGAGAGCGTGGAAAATCCCTACTAAATTGATACAATACTTAAAGTGTGATACTCAAAAATGTCTGCAAAAAAGTATAATTTACTTTGAGTTTTAGTTGATCTAAAAATTTTTACGATTTCAGACTTCACTAATTTTTATTTTGTTTATTTTTTTTGTTTCAAGCTGAAAAAACAGTTAGCATTATTATGTAATTAGAAATAATATATAATTAGAAATAATATATAATTAGAAATAATATATAATTAGAAATAATATATAATTAGGAATAATACATAAGCAGTAATTATATAATTAGGAATAATATATTCTGCTATTTTTGTAATTAGCTGAAACATAACCATTTATTCCAGTTTTGGCATCTTATATAAGAATTGAAATCAAACAAAAATTGTAATTATTTGTAAAAACCCTTAAAAAGCGAAAAAATTCTTAGAAGTGTGGTAATAAAAGTATTTCGAGTTTTTCCCAATGAAGTATAATTACTTTTAGTCGCAACTAATCCAAAATTCTTCAGGATTTTGTTTTTTACAACTCTTTCCTTTTGGCTTAACTTAGGTAAAGTTGAAAGATACTTCTTTTTACCTGAAAAAAATATTTTCACAATTACTTTATGATTTTTTTTTTTATAATTACAATTTTCATATTGGCTAAGAATCAATAGAAAATAAGTTTTAATTGTTATTGTAAATCGCAATAAAATGGATAAAACCATAAAACTGTGGTACACCATTGTTTTCAACAAAATTTATAATTACCTTGAGCTAAAGTTGGCTTAAAGTTTTGTACGACTTGAGATTTTATAAGTTTTTTCTTCGCTGAAATTTTCTTCTTTGTAGCTAGAAAAAGGAATCAGATTTTAATTTTTTCTTTATTGCAATTTTAGCATCGTGTGTGAGAATTATAAGCAACTAAATTTTAATTATTCCAGAAAACCCCTGAATAGCGGATAGAACCCTAGAAGTCTGTGATTAAATGTATACAGTGCGCAAAATAAAAAAAAGAAAACGAACAACCTTTAGTACTTTTGATCTAATGATCAGATTTTTAAGTTCTAGGACTCCATCTTAAAGGTTCAAAGAGGTGACCAAGAAAAAGTTAGTCAATAAGTGCAGGAGATATTTTAGTTTCAAAATCAGTCCCCAAAACGTATTCTCTCTAAATAAACAAACCTTTCTGTTCGACGGAATCAGATTTCTTAGTTCAAAAATAAAGGGGGTGGTCATAATCTGAGAAATATGGTCCGCATATTTAGGTCAGGAGAGCGGTTCGAAGTTTAAACCTCTTAATGTTTGTTTCATTTTTTGCTTATTTTACTACATCTCGAAAATATTTTAAGCGAATTAATTTTTTTGCACACAATTATTAAATTCGTTTATCCAAAGTTAGTTCCATGAAAAATATAACTTTTCAATAAACACTTATTATTTTTTATTATTTTACTTATTATTAGTCGGAAAATTTTGATATGTAAGGCATACATTTTTTTACATCCTTTTAAAGAGCGTAATTTTAAATGGCGAAATTCAAAATTACAGCGAAATCGGTCGAATAGTTCCTGAGAAATCGAAATTTGAAAAAGTCATATTTTTGAAATTTGATTTTTCAGTAAATATTCGACCGATTTCACTCAAACTTTGAACTTAAATACAATATTTAATACTGCATTCTTTAAAATTATGCAAGATATTGTATCCTTTTCAATTCAAAATTTTTCCGACTATTATTGAATAAAATAATAAAAAATATTTTGAGGGTCAGAAATTTGAAACTATCGAAAAAAAGATATTTTATTCAGAAAAAGTACGTTTTTGTGTCTAATTTTGTAAATCAAATTATCAACTGCACTGATTAATTGGCATATTTGAGGTCCCGCCCTACCAATCATTACGATTGAGCCTTAGAACGTGAAGATCCGATCATTAAGCCAAAAGTTATTTAGGGTGGTCGGTTTATTTTTTTGCACACTGTACTTCAATTTAGTTAAAATGTATAGTTTCCTTTAGTTATAATTGATTCAAAATTTTTTACAGCTCAATGTTTCACCATTTTTTCCTTTTGGTTTAAATTAGGTAAAGTAAAAATTTTATTTCTTTTTAGCTAAAAATAAATTTGCTCAGATTTAATTTTTTTCCATTAATTTATTGTATAGGAGAATCAATCGAAAACAAATTTTTCATGTTTATGTAGATTCATATGAAATAGTTATAACCCTAAAATCTTGAAAGAATGAGGTTTTTGCCAAAAATTATAAATACCTTGTCCTAAAGTTGTCCCAACATTTCTTGCGACATGGTCTTTTAAGCATTTCTCACGACTTAGCGTTTTATTCTTTGTTGAATTTTGCCTCTTTGTAGCTGAAAAACATGACACCTATTTTTATTATTTCTTTATATCAAGTTTGGTATGTATATGTGAATCACAAGTAATTAAGTTTTAGTTGTTTATGATAAACCCTACGAAGGGCCCTAGAAATGTGGGGATAAATATATTTCAACATTTTAGTTAAAAAGCATAATTACCTTTAACAGCAATTAATCCGAGATTTTTTATGACTTTAGGTTTCAATACTGTTTTCTTACTGTGATTTATCTTAGTTAAATTTGAAAACGTTCCTTTTTTTGCTGAAAAAAAAGTTGTGTATGAATTTTTATGATTTTAGCTTTAGTATTGCAATAGAGAACCAATTAAAAAGTTATTTTTGTCAGTAAGCATAATTACCTTGAGCTAAGGTTGTTTCAAAATTTTTGACGCCTTTATGTTTTACAACATTTTGCTTTGCTGGAATTTTCTTGTCTGTAGCTGAAAAAATGGAGCATATTTCATTTTTGTTTTCAGTTTCGGCATTGCATTGAACAATTGCAGGAAAATAAGTTTCGATCGTTAGCGAAAACCTCAGCAATATGAATACAATTTTAAAAGTGTGATAAAAAATGTACTTTAATTTAGTTAAAAGGAATAATCACCTTTAGCCGCAATTGATTCAAGTCTTTTTACAACTTTAGGTCATTATCAAAAACTGTAAAAAGACTTTTCAATGTCTTTTACTACTTTTTTCTAATGGTTTAACTTTGGAAAAGTTGAAAAATTTCTTTTTAGCTGAAAAAAGAAACGATTTGAACAAATTTTAATTTTTATTTATTATTGTTTTAGTACTGTGTGAGAGAATTAACATAAAGTAAATTTTTAATTTTCAAGTAAATTGCAATTAAATGCAAAAGATATTAAAAGTATGATGCTCCAATATTTTTGTCAAAAAATGTAATTATCGTGAACGTTGTCCTAATTTCTTTCAAACTTTAAGGTTTTACCACTAAATAGTTTTGGTGTAATTTTCATTTTTTACCAGAAAAATAATTAGTGCATATTCTATTATTTATTTATTTCAGTTTAGGCCTCCTACTTAGAGTTACAGGCAAATAAATTTGAAATGTTCTTGAAAACCCCTAAGTAGAGGATAAAACCCTAGAAGTGTTTGCATAAAAGAATTTCAACTTTTCAGTTAAAAAGTATAATTACCATTAGCTGGTATTGTTATAAGTCTTTTTACTACTTCAGGTTTCATCACTTTTTTCTTCTGGTTTAACTTAGTTAAGGTGGAAATTTTCCTCTTTTTAGCTGAAAAAGAGATTTGTACACATTTTTACTTTTTTTTCAATCTTACACTTTTAATAATGTGTGAGAGAATCAGCAGAAAGTAAATTTTTTATGTTTATGCAAATTGCAATCAACTGCATAGAGCATTAAAATTATAATATTGCAATGTTTTTGCCAATAAAGTAAAATTACCATGTGCAAAAGTTGTTTCAATTTGTTTCAATCTTTTGGGTTTTATGATTTTATCGTTTGTTGAAGTTTTCTTGATTTTAGAAGAAAATATATCAGTGCATATTTTATTATTCCTTTATTTCAGTTTTACCTTGTATGTGGGAGTTGCAGACAAATATATTTTAACTAGTGGGATGCACCCCTTGCTCGCTAACGCTCGCCAACCCCAGAAAATTGCTACGCAATCTTATATGGTTTGCGTCGCAAACCAAGCTTGCTTAGCTCGCTACTACTTAGGTACATTGCAAATGCACAAAATTCAAAGAATTCAAAACAATCATTCAAATCCATAAAACAACTTTAAAAAAAATTGCATCTTTTTAGTAAATACTAAGTCATTAAAATAAATTTGAATTCAAATAAATGACATGTAAGTCGTTAAACCTATTAGAAATGTGCTATAGTATAAAATCTTAAAGCGTAGCAGCCCGACTGAGACTCATTTTTCAATAAAAACTAATAATAATAATAAAACAAATAAATTCGTGATATAAATCAAAAATAGTCAAATAAATTCTTAATTTATAAATTCGTAAAAAAAAGCGACATATCTATCTAAAGAGACCTATCGACAAAAACTACTCACTTCCACCTCTCTCTCTGGTTATTTCAGTTTCCGTTTTTAAAAGCGCTATATGTTGAGCCACCTCAGCTAGATTTGGCATTTGACATTTTTAGCGGCAATCATTTGTCGATTTTCTAGCGTTACCATTCGGGGAGCTGCAATGAGGTTTTTTTTTGTCGCCGTGTAAGAGAAATATATATATATATATAGATTATTCGTGAGAACTCCTACGTTTGCGGATACTAACCTAGTATTAATAAATGTAAAAAGTTTAATCACCTTTAGCTGTAATTGATCCAAGTCTTTTTACAGCTTTCGGTTTCACCACTTTTTTCTTCTGGTTTAAATTAGGTAAAGATGCAATTTTCCTCGTTTTAGCTGAAAGAGAGATTTGTACAAATTTTTACTTTTTTTCATTCTTACACTTTTAATAATGTCAACAGAATGTAAAGAGAATCAACAGAAAGTATAGTTTTCATGTTTATGCAAATTGCAATCAACTGCATAGAACATTAAAATTATAATATTGCAATATTTTTGCCGATAAAGTGAAATTACCATGCCCAAAAGTTGTTCTAATTTGTTTTAATCTTTTGAGTTCTACCATTATATCGTTTGATGACGTTTTCTTGATTTTAGAAGAAAATATATCAGTGCATATTTTATTATTTCTTTATTTCAGTTTTATCTTGTATTTGGGAGTTGCAGACAAAAATATTTTAATTATTCGTGATAACTCCTGCCTTTGCGGATACTGACCTAGAAGTGTATTAATAAATGTAAAAAGTTTAATCACCTTTAGCAGTAATTGATCCAAGTCTTCTCACAGCTTCGGGTTTCACCACTTTTTTCTTCTGGTTTAACTTAGGTAAAGCTACAATTTTCCTCTTTTTAGCTGAAAAAAGATTTTACAAATTTTAATGTTCTTCATTCTTACAGTTTTAATAATGTGTGAGAGAATGACAGAAAGTAAATTTTTAATGTTTATGCAAATTGCAATCAACATATGTATAGAAAACAATGTATAGACAGCAGCAAACAACAATGTATAGAAAATTAAAATTACAATATTGCAATGTTTTTGCCAATAAAGGGAAATTACCAGGCGCAAAAGTTGTTCCGATTTGTTTCAATCTTTTGGGTTTTTCCATTTTATAGTTTGCTCAAGCTTTCTTGATTTTAGAAGAAAATATATCAGTTCATATTTTATTATTTCTTTATTTCAGTTTTACCTTGTATGTAGGAGTTTCAGACAAATATATTTGAATTATTTGAGAGAACTCCTACGTTTGCGGATACTAACCTAGAAGTGTATTAATAAATGTAAAAAGTTTAATCACCTCTATCCGTAATTGATCCAAGTCTTTTTACAGCTTTCGGTTTCACCAATTTTTTCTTCTGGTTTAACTTAGGTAAAGTTGCAATTTTTCTCTTTTTAGCTAAAAAAAAGATTACACAAATTTTCATTTTCTTCATTCGTACAATTTTAAAAATGCGTGAGAAAATCAATAGAAAGTAAATTTTTCATAATTATGTAAATCGCAACCAATTGCATAGGGAAATATGATATTCCAATACTTTTGTCACAAAGTATAATTGCTGTGAATAAATGTGCTTCAATTTTAGTTACAAACTATAATCAACTTGAGCTGCAAATGGTTCAAGTCTTTTTACAAATTTAGGCGTCACCTCTTTTTTCTTCTGATTTAACATAGGTAAATTTGATATTTTCCTCTTTTTAGCTGAAAAAAAAATTTACAAAAACTTTTTTTTATTATTACAGTTTAAGTTTTGAATGAGAGAATCAATAGAAAATGAATTTTTCATGTTTAAGTAAATCGCAACTGAGTGCATAAAACTCCATCGTTTTTATCAAAAAGTATAATTACTATAAACAAAAGTTGCATCAACTTGTTTTAATCTTTTAGGTTTTACCACTTTATCGTTTACGAAATTTTTTTTTTTAAGCAAAACAAATTATTAGTACATAAATTCTTTATTCGAGTTTTTTAGCATATGTGGTAATTACAGTCTAATAAATTTTAATTGTTCGTAAATATATATACCACTANGTATTTATATATATATATATATATATATGAGGTAAAAAGGTATGTTTATTAAAAAAAGTACGTTTTTGTGTCTGATTTTGTAACTTAAACCATCATCTGCACTTATTAATTAGCATATTTGAGGTCGAGCCATTAATAACCGATCATTAGATGAAAAGTTATTCAGAATGGTCCACTGTACACTGCTTGACGATTGCTAAGGAGCAACTGATTTATGCAAAGTAGCGTTCTGACAGCTGAGGAATAACAGCCTAATGAATTTTCGCAGACTAATGAATTTTAATTGTTTATGAAAACTTTTGTGAAGTGTGGTAAAAAACTGTATTTACTAGAAAATATGTTGATCTTTAGCCTTAATTGAGCAAAGACATTTTGCGTTTCTAGTTTTTAATACTTTTTCCTTTTGATTTCATTTAGCTAAAGTCAAAAGTTTTCTCTTTTTAGCTTAAAAAAATGATTTGTACATATATTTATGATTTAAATTTCAGTATCGTATAACAGAAGCAATGGAAAGAAGCTTGTGCATGCTTCAGTTTATCCCAATAAAATGGTTAAGACCCTAATATCAGGAAAAGTATAATTACCTTGAGCTGATGCTGTCCCAAAAGTTTTCACACCTCTAGGTTTTACCACTTTTCGCTTTCCTGAAATTTTCTGGTTTGTTGCTGTAAAAATATTGGAGTATATTTTTATTTTCTCTTTATTTTCTTTATTTCAATTTTCACTTCATATGTGAGAATAGCAAGCAAATAAATTTTAATTGTTTACTAAAACCTCCGCGAAACCTTTGCGAAATCTTTCGTGTAATGATCTTTTCATTGAAATTATGAGATATAATCTCGGAAACTAATTCTTCTGGAAAGCATTCTCACAACAGCTCGTTGTTGGCTAAGGAGTCGTTGAGGTTACAACTCCATAATTTCATGACAAACGACGTGAATATGATAGTGTGGTTAGCACTGTGCACAGAGTGCATTTACTGTGCACAAAGTCCTCCAAGTTCCCATAACAAATCAATACCTCTGGGAAATAGGAGCCTATTTACATTTTTTCTTGATATATCTATTTTGATAACGTATATGCGAATTGCTGGCAGTAATTTTTTAAGTGTTTATGAAAAACCCGACAAAAAGGTAAGTACGAGTTCTTTTAGTTAAGTACAAGTTCATAAAGCCGCAATTTAACAATAAACTTTTCATGGATTAAAGTTTTACCACATTTTAGCTTGGTTGAGTTCAGAATAAGTTTTCTTTTCTTTAGCGAAAAAAAAAAAAAAAATGGTTTCTGCATATATATCTTGCTTTTTTCATTATTTAATTTTTGGTGTAGCATTACAGAATCAAAAAAAAAAAAAAAAAAAAAAAAAAAAAAAAAAAAAAAAAAAAAAAAAAAAAAAANTTTCAAAAAAAAAAAAAGAAAAAAAAAATCTAAAGCGATAATTTCTTAGAAATACAAATTTTTCGTGTAATGACGTTTTCATTTAAATTATGAGATATAATCTCTGAAACAAACTCTTCAGGAAAGCATTCCCGGAACAGCTCTTTGTGGGCCAAGAAGTCGAGGAGATTAAAACTTCATAAATTTAGGAAAAACGACATGATTGCGACAGTGAGGTCAGCACAGAGTGCAGGCCGCATTTACTGCCCACACAAGCTGATATCATCAGTCAGAAGCTAGAATGGCTTCAAGCCACCTCTGAGGATCGAAGCCTAGTTCTTCACATTGACAGTTCAGTGCCTTAACCACTGAGTCATCACTTCAGGAAAGACACCTGACGACAGTAATTAGGTCCGGGATAACCTGTTTGGTAAGACGTTTGACTCTGGGGGAGATTGATCGTTCTCTGATTCATGTCAAAATCACGATCTGTGGATGAATGAATTGATGTATGAATGGTCAGCTCTGTAAAGGGGGCTGAGGAGTGTGTATGTGACTGAAGACGTATTCTAGATCATAGATGGCGACACTGAAAAGCAGGAAGCTCACCCTCTGTCTTAAATGCGCTTGGTATCCCAGGCATTCTTGCTGTCATTGGCAAGTGGCAATCGAAACAACAATAACACGACAGTAATTATACAGGACTGCAAATTCCAACATTTTTGTTAAAAAGTATGATTACCTTGAATTGAAATTGATCCACAACTTCTTTCAACTTTAGGTTTTGCCACTTTTTCTTCTGAGGATTTTTTCTTGTTTGTTTCTGAAAAAATTAATACATATTTTCATTATTTCTTAGAGCATCGTTATTAATTACATATAAATTATAACATAGTTACAAATATATATATATATATAAGTTTATAGTTGCAAATATTACAACAAAGTTTTTTAAGTAGGTAAATATTTTGTTTGAATATTTAATAACTGAGAGTACTTCTCTTTTTGAGGATTCATAAAGGATTCGTTTTAATTTGGAAAAAAAATCCCCTTTCATTATTATTTTGTTCCGTGTCTCTCTATGAACAAAAGAAAAGCGATTTTAATGACGCGTGAGTTGCATAAAAAGTCAATTTTATTTACGATTCTCTTTAATGGAAAAAAGGAGAAACTTTTATATCTCATAACTGTTACTAGATGGCAAAATTATTAGAAATAGTAGTTCTCATTTCTGACTAACATTCGTTTTGTAACTCGAATTGGTGCTCCTTCCTTTTTTGAGCAAAACCATTCGTTCTCGTTTAACCTGGNTAACTATATATATATATATATATATATATATATATATATTGCATAAATCTCCACAAAATGAGATCAGCTCTAGTGTTGTGGTTATAAAACTAACTTAAAATTTGAGTTGAAAAATTTAAAAGAAGATTTTTTTTGTTTAGTATAAAGGTTAATGACTCAAGAGATGAAATTACTTACTTTTGGGTCATATTATGCAGGATTTAAAAATACGTTCGGTAATTTGAACTGCAATGAAAGAAACTAAGGAAAATTCTGCAAGTTTCGATCTTTCATGCGTTTTTTAACTTGTTTATCATGTCTGCGCTTGGGTGGGGTCTTAAAAATGGAAATTCCAACAACTTATCTTGAGTACTTGATTATCAAGAAGAGCTCTTATTCTTATAATAATAAAATATTAAATTATCCCAACTGCGGGTGTGGGGATTTCAGATCTGAAATTATTTTTGCTCCTAAAACTACAGATTTTCATTTCAAATGACATTTTTAGGCTATTTTCTGTCGAAATGTACAAGTTAAAAGCGTCATCGATAACAGAGGGTCGTATAAATTATGTGACAAACTTCTGACGAAGTTCGGACAAATAATTAACATTAGAAATGCATAGAAACCCTTGACCAAAATGGCTGTCATACATGGCCTTCCAATACGACTTGCTCAGAAGTACAAGTACAGCTCATTGTAGAAGGCGCCTCTAGCGGTATAAGACATTTCCAGACATGGTTTTTTATGCAGTTTTAATCCTGATTATGTGCTCTAACTTTCCTCACAATTTCTCCAAACTTTTATGCGATCCCCTGTTATATTTAACGCTCTAAAACTTGCACATTTCGCCAAAAAATAGACTAAACGTCATATAAAATGAAAACTGTAGTTTGTAGAGAGAAACAGATGGAATTTGAAATCGGCAATGTGAATGTACCTAAGATCCGTTCAAAAATATCATACAACTGAAAACAAAAATTGTTCCCCAGTGTTATTCATGCTAGTAATGCTTAGTTAATTGCGGTAATAAGTACTACTGATATTGTAGTAACGTATGAGTGAATCGATGTAATAATCGCTGAATAGATGTAGTAATAAATAATTGTAGAAATAGATATATAGATTTAGTAATAAACAGGTAATATAATAGATGCTGTGGTAATAGATACCTAATATAGGTATTGGATTACAGGTTTTATAGTCAAGTACACTCAGTTGGCTATGGTGAGAAACAATCACAAGCATTAGAAAAATATTTTGACTTATTGATTTGAAGATAGTGAGTATAATAATATACATTGTTCTAATCAACTTTATATACTATCAACATTATGCTAAGCACTTTAGTAAGTAAGTGAAAAGATATTAATATTTTGCATTCTCTTTCATTGTATAAAGCTGAGGTCTACAGAAAATATACTTCCTTGCAAATAGTGAAAAATATATGTATAACACAATAATATGTCGTATATTATAATTCCAATCAGTTTAAACATTTGGTAAGCTAGAAAAATAGCAAATCGTAGGAGAGTTTTCAAATCTGGACATAACTCGAAATTCTAGTTTCCGAAAATGGACACAGCTAAAAATGCGCTTTTATGAAAATGGACAAAGCTGGCAATGCGTGCTTAGGAAAATGGACCAGCAAAAGATGCACCTTTTCAGTTTTCAATACAAATGTAGCAGTTAAATGAGGAATTATTTGATTACTTTTCATTACTTATCTATACACTTAGCATAAACGTTAACTCTTTGACATATAGAGATCAATACTGGTATCCCTTTCATGTATTTTTTTCTAAAGTTCTAATTAGAAGTAAAAATATGCTCTGAAATTTTTTAATTATAAAAAAATCTAATAGTTGCTGTTAGATTATCTAAAAATAAAATATATTAGATCATCAGACTTATGAAATTAATTGATTTTGTAAATTTTAGAAATTTCAATTATTAACCGTTTCTCTAATATCTAAATAACTGCAAATAAGTGCAAATTTGAAAAATTATTGTATGGAAGTGAGCCATGTTTGGAAGATTTTAACTTTAACACAGAGAAAGGTATCGATGTTTTATGCTGTTTCTCATGACCATAAATTATTAAAATTCTAAATATGTTTTATTCTTATTTTAACCTAAAGTAATACAAAATAATGAAAAATGTACGAAAAATATGCTTAATAAAAATTCTGCGTCAAAAGGTTAAGGAAAATAATATTGAGGACGAGGTTGGAATTATAATTGCAATCATATAGTTAAATTATAGTAAATATTATAGGTAAAAATGATTTCATAAAAGCTTAACCTGGAGAAGGAAAAGGAGGGTCAACCAAAACTTTTAAAACGGTATCTAATACCGACAGCATTCCAATTTTAGATTCATAAACATTTATTTTCAATACATTATTAATTTCGTGGGAATTTTAACAGTTGAGTTTTAAACCCTGTTTTGTTTTGAATTTGAAATTTAAGAGCTATGAAAATTATTTCTAACTTTTTATAATTATCTCTTACTGTGCTTCAAGCTTTCATTGACCAAAAAATTAAAAATTTAAATCATTGAACCTGTAGCTTAGCATCGAGCTTATAATATTTTTGGATGTTATTACAATATAATTGATTATAATATAATGTAATTTTAATGATTATATTACAATAATTAATTTAACGTAATCGATATATTGCAATATATTTTCAGGACAGGAATAATCGATTTTTCTGTGTAGTTTAACTACTCCAATAAAACTAAATAATTTACATTATTTTCGACATTTCAATATTTTTGCTACTCAAATAAAATTATCGGTGATTAGTGTAATATCGCATTCGATAGTTATAGTTAAAAATAATATTCGTAATTTTATCGTATTCATTACTGTTATCGATTGTTATAACTATTGATAATAATCACAAAATTATGGCATTCGCTATTTATCTATGTCAATAATAAACTTTTTATTACATTACATGAAAATTTAATTTGGTTACCTTAAAGGATAAATATTTTATTGGTCATTATCAAAATAATTAATTACTAGAAATGTTTATTTTTTGTATGGAGTTATCTTTGCATAAAAATATTTTGCAATTGTACTTAATAGTCCTGAATTTTTACTTCAATTTCGTTTGGTAAACATATTTAATCCAAACATTTTCATTAATTAGCATTCTCATAAGATTTAATGAGTTATTACTTGAAAAAATTATGAAATTATTTCTTATTTGCATCATTACGTCTTATATTCTATTTTATTGCAAGCAATTTGACAAGCAATCTGAACTAATCTGATTCAGTAATAATTACATTTTAGAAACTGTTCAGTCAGCGTATTTTAAGTTTAATTTCATATACCCAATGATGCAAAACTCAAAAACATAAAATAAATTAAAATCATTTTAAATGAAGTAACGGAAAAATAATTTAATGACCAAATATCTCATTATCTTGTATGATCAGCTTTCCCAATCTTGTGAATAAGTTAATAAATTACTTCTCTTCCAATGAATATTTCAGTTTTTTCTGTAAATACATCAGCAAATTGAGACGATTTAAAACGAAAAAAAATTACTCCAGTTCAGTTGTACATCGAAAATACAAATTAAAATTGAAGTTAACTTAAATTGCATTTTAGATTTATTTTATTAAATTGCTTTCTATTTGAAGACAGGCTAGAGTGTTCTAAGCAGCATATTTTCAATAAAAAAAATAAGTAGAAAGTTTTAACGATAAAACTTAATTTCAAAAGAATCACTTTGTGATGTTTATATAAAGTTTCGGATTAGTCTTATCATGATTTTGATGGCTTTAAACGTCAAAGTTCGTGGAGATATTTTCAGATTTTATAAGGTATTGAATGATTTAAAGGAAATTTGAAAAATAAACTTACGAAAAAGATGTATTTAAATACACTGATAAAACATTACACTTCATTGTTACTGATATTAAGACTTTGAGCAGTGTAATCTGATTTAGTAATAATTACCGTCATTCGGGGCTACTTTGAGCAGGATTTCGCAGTTTTTGAACTTTGACATGTAAAAAAACTATATTAATTCAAACTTTAGTAACATTTATCGATATTATATTCATAAGTGGACTCAGACGAGTGAATTTGATCAATATTGTCATTATTTGTATGTAATATTTACGAATAATAAGTCAAAACATACCTTGCAAAAAGTAGCCCCCAGATGGAGCTACTTTGTGCAGCGATAGGAATTCAGTTTAATAATCATGTTTTTAGTAAAATATTGATATAAAATTGTTAAAAAAGTAAATTGTTGACATTTTTAACGACAAAAACATCAAGATATGTAAAGATATTAGTTTGAAAATAATTTTCAGCTTTAAAAAACCATTTTTTTTGAAGAATTGTTTCTTAAAAAGAATGTTTATTTCAAAACATTTGAGTTTAAACAAAAGGAAACCATATACATTTTTAAACATTGAAATGGATGAAATTTTAAAAATAATAATTATTACATATTCATTAACATTTATAATATTGTTAAATTTGAACATAACATCCTTGAATGAACATGACAGAACTTGCTCTTCAGTTTCTGTCAAAATCACCTGATGTCCTATAAAATATATTTTTATGTGTTAAATCGTTTGATTAATTCATTAGAAAAATCTTTATAGAAGAAATATAATAGTTTACCAGGAAGTTTCACGTGTTTCTTGTGAATTTTATTAGAGATAGTATTTCTGTGGATTTTGTACTTCCAAGAAGCTTCTGCAATCGACATAACACCAGCAACTGCTTGCAAACATTGTTCCAGCTTTTCTAAAGTGTAATCACGGTAGTTTCTCGTTCCATGTATTTTTTATAACATCTGACCATTTTTCTGTCGAAAAAAAAACGATTGAAACTTTGCACAAAGTAGCCCCAAAGTGCAATTTTTTTTTATTTTCCGTTTATTTGTTATTCATTTTCAAATTTTTTTAGCGCTAACATGATATAATTGTTTATTAATACATAAATAAAAAATTTTGCACTTACGACAATTGTTTTATCAGCGTCTTTGCATTTCACCGCTAAAGTTTCCACGCACACTTTTCGACATCCGACGTCCTCGGAAAATTGTTGACATTGGATGAACGAAACACACTCTGAGATTGTTTTAAAATTCGAAAAAATGTTTGTAGTAATAGAAGAGACTTCTATCTTCAAATTCCACACATTTTTAACGTGAAATAAACATAATACTGAATAACAGCACTTGAAAAATGCCAAATTCGAATTTGCACAAAGTAGCCCCCGCTGCACAAAGGTACATGACGGTACATAAATTTCAGTTATAACAGAATAACTTAAGTTCATAAATTAATATCAGACATAAATTTTCCTGCAGATATACTCAGATTAATAGGTATTGAATAATTTAATGATGAAATAAAGAGAAATTATGACTTGAATGATACTGAAGTAATATGCTTAAATTGTCTATAACGTAAAAAATATTGTGATTTTGTCATATTTTGAAACAATAAATGTTTAAAAAGTAAGGTTTAAAAACATAAATAAATAACAAGATTTAAAAAAAATATTTTTAGAACGTTTATATATAATCTAACCAGTGTTGATTAACATAGCTCTAAAATAAGTAGACGCACAGGTAATTACAGATTTTAAGGTATTAAATGATTTAATGGAGATGTAAAGAATAATTATAACATGTACTCCTATGTTAAAAATAATGTAAATACTCTTAGAAATTCTAGTGAAATTCGGAGAGTGAAGGAGCAAATTTTGATACTAGTTGGAAAATGTACTGCAAATTTCAGTACTTCCTATTTCGTAATTATTTAATAAATTTGAAGCATTGAAAACTTTTATGCCAAAATTTTACATATTTTACCTATTTTATATTCTGATTAAAATTATATAGGTAAATAAGTTTGTATTTGCGTAATATTCAAAGTAAATGAAAAATAATAATATATTTACTTCCAATTCGTACTAAACTAATACTAATTCAGAATCTAAATTGAAATTAACCTTCTGTCGAATCGAAATAAATTACTTTTATTATTAATCGGATTGCGGAAACCTGTCGTGGAACAAATTATATAAAGCATGATGGTTACAGCGTTCGATTGGTCACAGAAAGATTTGGGCTTCAATTCCAGAGCTAAATAACATCTCTCTCTCTCTCGCATTCTCTTAATATTGGTGATCATGAACAACAAACACGGAACTCTCTTACTCCTTAACAGATAGCACCACTACACTACTTCACCTCCTTCCAGGTTGCGTTTTTTCACACAATTTGTTTTTTAATCACACTATTCGAAGAAGAAAATAATCTACTAATTGGAATACTAAAATACAAATCTGATGAAAAATTATTAAAAGAATTTTTTTTTTTGGTCATGCAAATGTAATAATTTTCAATGACGCGATAAATAAGTTTAAAAATGACTTTAAAACTATTGATGTATCCCACCTAGTAAGGAAAGTTAAATTTTCTCAGAAAAATATTAATACATTTTCTAAACATTTGCTTCAGTTGATGGTATGGAAATCACTAATATGGTCATTATTATGGTAAAGATGGAAGATATATGGATCGTTTCTTTACGAACTTCTTATATCTGTCATGCAAATATAATAATTTTCAATGAAGCGATAAGTAAGTTTAAAAATTACTTTTAGACTATTGATGTATCCCACCTAGTAAGGAAAGTTAGATTTTCTCAGAAAAATATTAATACATTTTCTAAACATTTGCTTCATTGATGGTATGGAAGTCACTAATATGGTCACTATTAAGGCAAAGATAGAAGATATATGGATCAATTTTTTACGAACTTCCTGATATTCTAGTACTCTAAAAGCTTACAAGTTATTCAGTGATTTTTCAGTGTTTTTTTTAAATTTTCATAGTAAATGCAATACTATTATAGATCCAAAATAAGAATTACTTTCAGAGCAACGAAGCATCTTTTAACAAAAGTGATTATTTACTGAGTAAATACAATTGTGTATCAGATACAAAATAACACTAAAGGGAAAATATCAATTGCTGAAAAATGAAGTAGCTGACTTATTTCAATACTTAGTTTCTGAAACTGCGTATTAAAAATGAAAAAAACAATAAGGACGTTTTTTCCTTCCTTTAGAAAAATGCATCATAAATGTGAAAGGAAAAAAAAAAATCGTACATCATTGTAAGTAAACGTTTTATGAAATATTAAAAGAAATTATGCGTCTACCATGTATGTTCTCGAAAAAGTAATTTCAAATGAGTACATTCTTGGTATACTTTTAGAGATAACGAACATTGTGCCTTGACATTCTTGGCGAAATGTAACAATTATTCTTGACAAGTTAATTAACGATACATAGTTTCTTTTTTTTCTGCTCGTTTTGGTGAAGAGAACTTGAAACCGCAAATTCCTTTTAAACAATCCAAAATATACTTTTTCCTGGAAAGGAAAAGGAATTTAGAACATGAAGTTC